CAGGTGCTAACAAGCTTGAGTTGACCAATGAGGGCCCGAGTTTTGTGGGTCCAGTAGAAACACGATCAGGTGCTAACAAGCTTGAGTTGACCAATGAGGGCCCGAGTTTTGTGGCCCCAGTAGCAACACGAGCCGGCCGACTGCCTACATGGTAATTACACTCCGCGGGGAAACATTCGATAATAGAGTTAAACATCGGGATGGTCATAGAAATCTGATGCCTTGAGGAACAGAAGCACCAGACTTTCAGACGGCGCTCTGGCGTTACAGTGCGAGCTCTCAACTGTGGCGGTTACATGTAGCAGTGGAAGACTATTGTAGACAAGTTGTTGGGAATACAAGCAGAAATATAACGCTGGAATAGTGTAACCTGAGGGCGTCACAGTGCAAGCTCTCAACTGTGGCGATCACATGCAGCAGTGGAAAACTATTGTAGACAAGTTGTTGGGAATACAAGCAGAAATATAACGCTAGATTAGCGTAACCAGACTTGGGATGACAGCAGACACGAGTCGGGTGGGTTATAAAATTACTGGAGCAAATAGATCTATAGGCGGAGTTGGGCTAAATAATATACACACGTTTACCGATGACAGAATACTGCAGCGAGCTGAGATATATGGGGAGGGGGCGCGATAAATATTTACAGCAACTTTATGACAATAATAATTTAAACTATTATAAAACTATTTTTTTTGTTTTCCCCAAAGTAACATTTCTAACCACTGTCAGCCCTATATGGACAGGTCTTAATACATAATACGTTGCTAGGCAAGCCTATCAACATTGGCTACGTAGCAACAATGCTATACAGCCTAGGACAAAAATTAAATCAAGACCATTAGTGTAAACATACAACTTTATACACTAGTGTAAACATTCAACTTTCTACATTAGTGTAAACATTCAACTTTCTACATTAGTGTAAACATACAACTTTCTACATTAGTGTAAACATACAACTTTCTACATTAGTGTAAACATACAACTTTCTACATTAGTGTAAACATACAACTTTCTACATTAGTGTAAACATACAACTTTATACACTAGTGTAAACATTCAACTTTCTACATTAGTGTAAACATTCAACTTTCTACATTAGTGTAAACATACAACTTTCTACATTAGTGTAAACATACAACTTTCTACATTAGTGTAAACATACAACTTTCTATGACAAGACACACAAGGGACGGCGTGTCTATCAATGGACAGTGTGTAAATGAGCAGACACGCCTACCGCAGCGTGTAGATGGTGTATGAGATGTTGCCAGTTGCAGCTGGTGACGACACAGACACACACGTGAACAACACAGTGGATCATCGAGTGTATCGACACACCACGTGGTTTAAGTCAACACTCCGGCAGCTCAATGCCAGATGGAATAACGCACCTCAGCAACCAGTCAATGCGCACCTCACCAACCAGTCAATGCGCACCTCAGCAACCAGTCAATGCGCACCTCAGCAACCAGTCAATGCGCACCTCAGCAACCAGTCAATGCGCACCTCACAACAACCAGTCAATGCGCACCTCAGCAGCCAGTCAATGCGCACCTCAGCAGCCAGTCAATGTGCACCTCAGCAGCCAGTCAATGCGCACCTCAGCAGCCAGTCAATGCGCACCTCAGCAACCAGTCAATGCGCACCTCCGCAACCAGTCAATGCGCCACCTCTAGAAGAACGGTGGGCATTCGTTCTTGGAGCCTGTTATCACAGAGACGATAGGTGAGCGCTGCTAATCAGACCGCCAACACGCCTCTAGTCTATATAACAGCTCAGCGGGTCGCTCAAAGTAAGAAATGTAGAATGTACAGGCGAACTAGCGTGGAGTGGACAAATGACCGGCGTGTAAACACGGCATCTGATCCCAGCTGTTGGTCGCCTCGTGAGCAAACACCCGACTCGAGGACTGAGTACACGATGACTCACCCATTCCACCCCCTACCACCCCCACCACCGCACACGACAGCGTGTGTAAAATAGATATTCTTAACGTGCTCCACATAAATAATCTAGCAGGTGATTACGTCAGACAGTGAACAACTATCGATCGCGCGTAGATAAACACACAACAATTGTTTCCATTACGTCAGCGAACAGTTACCGGGAGATCAGGGTAGACATACTACTGTTATTATTTCTATTACGTCACACAGGGAACGAGGATCGATTGCGCGTGGATAATACGACTACGACTACTGTTTTTTGTAGCAGCTAATCAGGCCGCGGAGTGTGTATGACGTCAACAGGTATCTGAAGCAAGCTGGGACCAACTGTATGACGCCATGACGAGTGGGTAATTGCTAAACATGACTTCCTTCATTCATCTATTTTTAGTTTGGCACTGCCAAGTGAGAGGTACACAAAGACTGGATGTGAGGAAACAATGAGTATCGTGTCTGCAATAACAGGCATTTTATCGCTGAAGTAACAGGCATATTATAGCTGAAGTAATATAGGTATACTATAGGCAGTGCTTCTTCCAGACTTTTTTCTCCGGGGGTGGGGTACTTGAAATTTTCGGGTGGAGGGGGGGGGGGGGCGGACTAAAATTTTCGGTGGGGAGGGGGGGTGGAGAAACACTTAAAAGTATATATTTTCTATATAAATTCCATTTTGTTCGGGGGGGGGGGGGGGGCAAGAGATACCTGGAAGAAACTCTGACTATAGCGGGAGTAACAGGCGTATCGTAGATGTAGTACCATAGGTAGGCTACACGCGATAGATCAACCCTAGTCGTAACCTTGAATATTGAATCAGAAGTGTGGAGTAATGTAAATGTTGAAGACTTCAATCATAGACTGATCAATATCTACGCCAGTCGGCAGGCGGTACCAGTCAATACCACTCGGTGTGGGCCAGGCTATCTCACCTCTACATCAGGAAAACTAGAATGACGGCTCTAATGCTCGGCGCAAATTGGTTTTAAAACAAGCCTTTTATTCCCACTAAAACCCCGATGAATCGTTGGAAATTTCCCGTGATGCACCAGCTTCTGCCTAAAAAAAAGAGGTTAACAGTTTAGAAAGTATTAGAGAATGAACTGCGCAGTACGGGCAAGACGCGACAAGAACGGTATGACAGATGCGACGACGTAATGCAAAAGTTCCCGGCGTCACCGAGGTTGCTAGGGCCGAATAACGCCCGCCTGGATATTAGCTCAACTCTGTCATTAAGCTGCGCGGGGGACGCGGCCCCAACACGGGATGGCAATTTGAAAGGTCGTGTATTAATTAAGGGCTAAGACAAGCGGAGACCCCCAAAGCTCAGATCGCTAGTAGCCAGTGACGAGGGCGGGAAATGAAACTGTCAACTCGATCCCATTACTTCCTGCCCACGGGCTGAAACCGTAGCTCTGGTCAGGGGACACTATTCCGCAGAAATGGCCGGTATCTTCTTAGGGTTGTGTATCACCATTAGACTTCCTAGGGTGGTGTATCAACATTAGACTTCCTAGGGTTGTGTATCAACATTAGAATTCCTAGGGTTGTGTATCAACATTAGACTTGGTATAGACAACTAATTTAACAATATCGCATCCAATGCAGACGTAATGCGCGACGACGGAAACACATCATTTATTTACTTTACTGTAGGCCACTACAACTGGTATTGGTGGCTAAGTCTAGTAATTCTAAACTTTCTGGTTCGAGTTTGGTCTACATTCAGGGATATTGTCCGTTGTTTTTTTTTTTAATTTTTTTTTTGTTAGAGTTTGAGATCGGGAGGATGGGGGATAGTTTTTTTTTGTTAGGGTTTGGGTTAGGTGTAGAGGGAGGGTATAGTTTTTTGGTTAAAGTTTGGGTTAGGTTATGGGGAGGTTATTGTTAATTTTATGTAAGAGATTGAGGTTTGAGATACTGTTAAGACTTCGTTATATTTTTAAATAAGATAAATAGTACTGATAAACCATATGATCTTAATGTTATAAGCACCATAACATCCAATGATGAAGATGTGTAACCAATACAGGGCTGGTAAGATACTTAGAACACATAAACCAAAGTCTTTCTGTTTGTAAATCGTAAAGACTAATGAAAATGGTGTAGTTGCGTGACAAGGCGGGAGTGGGGGGAGGGGGGTGTGACACCTATAGGGGGTGACACCTATAGCTGGCTGACACCAAATAGACAAATGACAAAAGTACTCATAAATAACCATATTGGGGGTGGGTTGGAGTTGCCACACAGAGACGCACCAACTTATTGAGGCGGATGACAGTTTTTGTGGGTATACAATTCCCAACTGTACATCTTATTAAATGAAACTACTAAAGTTCCCTAACTCAACTGTACACCTGTATGTGTAACAAAGATCCCTAACTGTGTGTTAAATAATAAAGCCACTAAGATCCCTGTGTGTTACATAATAAAGCTACTAAGATCCCTGAATCAATTGTACACCTGTGTGTTACATAATAAAGCCACTAAGATCCCTGAATCAATTGTACACCTGTGTGTTACATAATAAAGCCACTAAGATCCCTGAATCAATTGTACACCTGTGTGTTACATAATAAAGCCACTAAGATCCCTGAATCAATTGTACACCTGTGTGTTACATAATAAAGCCACTAAGATCCCTGAATCAATTGTACACCTGTGTGTTACATAATAAAGCCACTAAGATCCCTGAATCAATTGTACACCTGTGTGTTACATAATAAAGCCACTAAGATCCCTGAATCAATTGTACACCTGTGTGTTACATAATAAAGCCACTACGATCCCTGAATCAATTGTACACCTATGTGTTACATAATAAAGCCACTAAGATCCCTGAATCAATTGTACACCTGTGTGTTACATAATAAAGCCACTAAGATCCCTGAATCAATTGTACACCTGTGTGTTACATAATAAAGCCACTAAGATCCCTGAATCAACTGTACACCTGTAAATGTAATATAATAAAGCTACTAAGATCCCTATATGTAACACAATAAAGCCACTCAGATCCCTATATGTAACATAATAAAGCCACAAAGATCCTACCTTCCCCAGGCCGTTGTTGAGCATGTGCGCCAGTTCATTGTGGTGGATCAGGCCCCAAGGAAAGCTGTTGTCGTTCTCGTCAATCTCCAGCAGCTCGAAGTCAACCACCGCCCCGCACGAGCTCCTACACTCCCCTGCACCACCGCCGCCAGCACCACAAGTGCTGTTGGTTAAATTATCCCCACCACTTCCGGTGCCGTAGCGACGGTGAAGACCACCGTGCTTTTTGCTGTTGCCGTAGGTAGGAAGTGCAGCCATAAGGTACATCCCTTGAGCGCCTGGTCCTGTGGAATCACATTCTCCAGAGCTTCCACGGCCCGGCTGGCATCATGAGGATGAGCTGCCGCATGACCGCGGGGACGACGGGGCTCCGACTGAATCTAAAACACTTCCTTGTCCCAGAGCACGGGTGAAATCAGAAAACATCTGAAAAGTAAAGGTGGTATTTGATTGAGTAATGAGTAGGCATACACAAATTATACACATTTCATCTTAGCAAACTCGGTGTATGACTATTATCCATGAGTCTACAATTATCTTTTCTAACTAGAGTTATTATATTAAGTTATTTCCAATAATCTTTACAATAACCAAGCTCAGATTTTTACGCCCCCCCCCCCTCCTCTGATTAAACTGTTAAAATATGTTGGTTAATTTCGTCTGAATGCAGGTATAATTGTACGTGTATTTGCGCAAGTAATAAATGTTAACAAAAGCGGCATGTAGGAAAATAAGCAAGCAAAGAATTGCCTGAAAAACATGAGTTGTCACAAGCCAACACAATTTCAAAGATTTAATAATTCAACAACACCGTACATGAAGCGAGATTCAATACTCGACCTTCGACCTTTACTTTCACAAAACAAGATACAGAATAAAAATATTTTTAAAATACGTTCTAAAACAAATGCATGACGGCAAACAAAAAATGTGATAGAGAATTAGATAGCTCTGGTTTGTAAAAAAAAAAAAAACCGCATAAAATTAATAAACAAAATACAAGCACACAAAATTAACAGCACCGCATTTAAAGATATTCTCTCGCAACACCCGTCGGCTATTCCCGTTCAAGATTTTCAAGTCGAATCAATACAACGGTAAAGTAGAAGTCGAAGACAGAACACCGGCTAGCACCGTGCTTATACGTCTGTAATCACTCAACTTGGGAACCAGTGCAACGAAAAAAAAAACGCATACCAAATGAAGAAACAAGAGGCGCTGTCACCAGCGCCGACATTTCCTGTCGAGTCCAATAACTGACTAACTGGGCCAATAGCAAGCCTCTGTGCCAGTCACATGGCCAATCCGACTCACCCAGTTTTGCATTTATTGAAATATGAAAGACTTCCGCCAAGCAGGAGAGTGACCTTACCTCGTCAAATAGGGCTCAGATGGTAACAAATGTACCAATGTATACTACTGCATATTATAAAAAAACTAGGCATGCTGCCCAGCTTCGCTTAGGCTTTCGAAAACATTGAGAATTTGAATGCTTAATTAATTCGCCCGAAGGTCGGTCTACGACCTCAAGAGTTATGAAGAGGTTCCTCCGTGGACATTTTTTTTCGATTTATAGCTCATATAAGGTACCGGTCAGTCGAGGTCAGTTTTGACCCCCACATCGTAGACTTTTCGGCCAACCGGCCCCCGTGTTCTGTCGCACCAAGGCAAGATCATGCCAAATTTGAAGCGCCTGCGGCGCCGGGAAGTGCCCTATCGGACACCCGACAATCTAGAATCTAGATCTAGATCTAGATTCCTAAAAGAATTTTTTTTTAAAGTTTAGCCCGAGCATAATAAAAAAGAATACATTAACCAAGTTGACTTGCTGTGTCTCGAACCCGCACCACCTGCGTGGTTTAATGTACACTAACATCTCCGCTATTTAGGCACCTTATAAAATACGGAGAATGAAACACGTATTTTAAAATCTTAACTTACACGAATATGCCTATTCTTTCAAATTATTTTTTTATCCCAAATTAGCCAGTTCATAACAAAGATTTTGTATAAAATAAATAAGTCTTGAAATAGTTTAGTCCTAATATAGAAATTTATTTTTGGAATAGATTTTAGAGAAGTTAGAGTCTAAATCTAGATCTTAGCGTCTACGTCTAGATTATAGATCTAGTTATTGCGTAGATTTAGATTTAGTCTAGATCTAGAATCTCTAGATCTAGAATCCAAATAAATAAAATAAATTTTATGAGTTTAGGCCGGAAAAACTGTATTGTATACATTTCATAGTGTACGTAGATCTAAATCAAATTTGAATGAAATAGTTCATTTCTTTTTATTCAAAACACAGCAGATGACGTCATTAGTTAATGTATAAGCAATAGCGACGTCACAGTTTTATGCGATCTTTTTCACATGTATTAATGCTTTTCCGGTTGCATAAATAATACTGTTTCTCTACATTCGAATACGCCTTTAATTTTTATTTTTCTTCTTTAAGTAAAATTGTGGTTATACATTTAAAACATCTAACATATTATTTTCAACAAAAGTCCGTAAAAAGTTCTCGATATATCGCTGCCGATTCTGACGTGATGTCCGGCGAAATTTTTTTGCGGACAGAGAAAGAGAGAGAGAGAGAGAAGAGCGCACATGGCCTTTTATAAATTAGGATAGTTTTATTGTTCAAATCAAAGAAAACATGTACGAGTTACCTAATGAGTCAATATTAACGCCAAGCGAATAGAAAGCAGAATTTATGTAACCAGAGTTTCTTGTGGTCATCTCATCAGAGGAGGGTGGGGGCATCCCCCACCCCCCATGGGTGAAAAAGAATTTTTATAAATTCAAAATGTAAACCAGTGTAGTCCCCCCCCCCCCACGGGGAAAAATGTCTGAAATAAACACTGCATGTGACATTGTGACAAACTTTTGAGAGCATTTAAAAAGCAATATTTACAATCTAAGCTAAAAAATATGAAACCATAATATAGTTTACTTAAAATTAAAACTCAATTTCTTGACTAAAACAGACACATGTCACAAATTGTACCGAATACAATCGGGTGTTCATCAAATAACACTACACAAGTTTAATGAAGAAATGAATAGGTTACAGTGTGTTGGGGCATTGATGATGTGACTATGGTCTGGCTACGGTCATGACGGAGTGTGGATACATATTTTAACAGCGGCTTTAGTGTGGTCAATGTGCAAATGTTGGATGGGCACTGATTAAATGACGTAGTGAGACTGGACAATGACGTAGTGGGACTAGACATTGAGACAATGACGTAGTGAGAATGGACATTGAGACAATGACGTAGTGGGAATGGACATTGAGACAATGACGTAGTGAGAATGGACATTGAGACGATGACGTAGTGAGACTGGACATTGAGACTATGACTTAGCGAGAATGGACAATGAGACAATGACTTAGTGAAACTGGACATTGAGAACATGACTTAGTGAGAATGGACAATGAGACAATGACATATTAACACTGGCCAGTAATAACAACGGCGTTGTGTGAGTGGACATTAAGTTACAACAGTAGAAGATGGATGAACATTGAGACAGAGAGCAGAACGTGATGGAGCACCATTCTACAATTACGTGAGGAAACTACCGCTGGACCACCAGCCATCTAGCTCTAAGACGTATATCTTACATCGTGTTTTGTCCGTTTGACTAAGCTAATTCCCTACAATCGTTTCTTGGCGAAGTGGTACTCACTACTACAAGGGGGGGGGGAGGGAGTGCGAGAGAAAAAGGATAATGAGCGAGTTGAATAATCACAGTACACAGTATCTTGTGAGCGGCGCTTGTACGCTTTATAATTCAACGCTTATTTGAATGGCTGATAAATAATTGCTTTCCTGTCAGGTATTAAAAATAAGTTGAACGCCAAATCCCTCTATTGTATTTACGTGGCTCAAAAGCCTCACGCCAATAACAAGGGTACTGAAACAATCAAGGGTACAACAAATCGTCTCTGTTCCAACAGGAACAGTCAACGTAAAGGCCAGTTTGTTTCCGGCCATGGGCATGTGAGCTGCGTTGCATGATACAGCCACAGCATCAATAGTGGAATTAGCTAACGATTTGGTGCCCACAATAGAACATGATTCATCTCGACGCGCCGCGCTTCCCCGTGCTGTTTCAGACTTTCTGGGAATGGAAATCAATGAAACGCATTTATGAAATGATTCCAAGTCTTGTTTTTCATAACAATGCGGCCGTGTAAAAATAAATGATTCCCCCATTACTGCATTGCAGGGAGTGAAAGAGCGAGAGAGGGAGAGAGAGAGAGAGATAGGGCTATTTTGATCATCACCATTAGAAGCTGCAATCGAGACAGATGTTATATTTTTAAAAACTTAGAATCCAACCGTTTAAAGCAGAAATTATTTTTATTTTTATACTTAAATTCTTTTTAAGAATTATACTTTAAATATCCTATATAAAAACATTAAAACATTAAACTTAAAGAATATAAAAACAAATAAGTAACATAATCATCTCATAAGAAATTTACTAAGGCAATTGTGATATGGCCTATTTTATTTTTTTCATCTGTATGATGTTTACAAATAAATAAAAAAAAAAAAAAAAAAAAAAAAAAAAAAAAAAAAAAAAAAAAACGACGAGGTGTCTTCTACACGCTGAGACAGCAATACACAATTTTGGTTTCTGAAGCCATTTGGTAAAAAAAAAAGTTGCTATTCTGTACAATAAGCCGGCCTGAAGTGCGAACTAGCGGCCATTACCGCAACACGCAACTTGAGTTCATCAAGGAAATATTATCGTTTCGCTGTGTCGTTTATACGAACAGATATAATGGCGAATATATTAGTTTATACTGTGTGGTCATTTTTCTTTTTATACAAAAAAAATCGTTATAAGCTAGAAAGCATGCTTTTCTTTTATTAATGACGCCAAAGTATAAACACAGAGAGATTATTTTTCACGGCAGTCGGATGCAACAACTGCGCTTATTTCTCACGCGAGCTGACAACGGTAAGAGGGGTGAAGGAGGGGGGGGGTATGACTGGGTTAGCTGTACTCTCGGTTCTCGTGGGGATCACATGACTCATATGTTTCAGATCAACAGCTTTCAATAATACACTGATGGATTGACGCAAGTTCATAAGGCCCGGGAGTCGGGGGATCCAAATGGTTATTGACTCGTGACCCCAGAAAAGGGATCCAATCTGGGGAACTTTAACCGTTATGCAATTGGGGTAGTAGGATAGGATGGAGTAGGATGGGGCGGGGTGAGGTATGTACAATTAAATGGGTTAAACGCCAAGCATTATTTCTATATTCGTGTCTATAACATGTGGTTGTGGTACAAAATAGGTATTTGTCTCAAGTAGAGTCTATAGAGATGACTCAGCCAGGTGCAAGAAATATATATGTTGTATACAGTTTAAAAATTATGTTGGTAGCGACACAGACCTAAA